GGTGGCGGTCGTGGATTTTCATCCGCACTTCAGCCCGCGGTCCGACTGTGGCCGGCTGGGCGGTGAATGCGGGGGGAGAGAGCACCAGCGTTGGGTGGTGGGGTGTCACGGACTAGCAGAGGTGTCTTCAGCGTGTCAGCGCTACCTTTGCAGAATTCGGGAAACAGGACCGGGGCTGTTCACGCCTTAAAAGATGAGGTGGAGTTTGTGTTATCCCTCTGTCAAAAGCACTTAAGATTCAGTGCACGCACGGAAAAGCAGCGTTTTAAATTCCAGTTTACTAAACTCTCTTTAAAAAGACTCGAAAAGATTTAGTGCACCGCATCTTGCGTTGTGGCTATCTGTGATTTGCAGCGCACGTTGTCAGCAGCCCGGGTTTCTTCTGCACGTTGCGGTGTCGGTGCTGTGTGGGTGCTCCCCAGCTGCAGTAAGTAGCTGCTGACAGCCTGTGCTCTGGGAGCTGCGTCGGTTACTCGGTGAAGTATGTGTGGAAACATGAAGTGTACGATGCCAGCCGCTTCTGGCATGTCTCTTGGCTGCTGTGGACGTGGGTGATGGGTGGCGGCCCTGGGCTACGGCCTCGCAAAGAGTTGAGGGGAGTCACAGCTCCAGTGTAGCAGGGCACACCAGACCGGTGCGCTGATGAATTTAACTGACGCTGCTCATGCATTCTCAGCATCATCTCTGAGGCATTCTACCTGTCTTGGTTATAAACATATTTCATGGGAAGAAATGAGCCACAGTGCACAGACCATCATGGGTATGATGGGTCGAAATGTGCAAGTTGTCAGTAATCCATTCCTCAGTGATATGCATTATAGATTGCAGCCTTCGGAGGCAACATATTCGTAGGTTTCATTTGGGTCTGTTTTGCATAGCCATTAATAATGCACATTGTTGATTAAGATCTAAGTTATTGTCATAAACCACAATGTAGGAGGTTACTTCCTAGAGGTAGTATATTGCATAAGTAGTCTGAGCTGCTGGCAGTGAAGCATACCAGAGCAGGCTTTGTCAAAATCAGACTGACTGTGCTGTTCATTAACAGCATAATGAGTATCCTCTTATTTATTCTGAAGCTCAGTGAAGAAAGCAAGCATGTGAGTACCGTAGTCAGCAGTTACATTTGCTATTTGACCAATGAATATTCAGGCCATGACCTCTCTGCTATTACTTAACCCTGTTTAAGATTCTAGACTGTCTTTTAAAACGGAGGAGTTGACATCACTATTACTGTTACTGTTTGCTTGTGCAGAACATACGTGTAAAATAACACATAATTTGCTGCTTTTTAGTTACAGAAGATGGCAGTATTGTGCGTTTTACAACTGATGAATAATTGACACCCATGAAAGTTTTGAAAAAATACAACCAAATGTGTTTCATAAATCTTATTTCATTAAGGAATTAAAACTATAACTTTTCATCCTCCTTTCAACAGAGTAAGTGCTCTAACAATAACCTTCCTTTATAAGTCAAATTTGAGGAATTCAGTCATTTTTTCATTAGTATGCTACATTTCATTATGGCATTTTCCTAATACACTTTGGGAAAGAACCACCTTAAGCTTATATATTTCAGTACTGAAAAGGAGGATCTCTATAAGAAAACAAAATACATCAGCTATTACAGATAATTCATAATGGTTCTGGGAAAAGCTGTCATACCTCTTTGATTAAAATAACTGCATTTTTCTCCATTTTGTTTATTCTTATTGATTTATACACATAACAGCAGCTTTATATTCAAGTACAGGCTCAGAATTCTATACAATTTAATTGAAATGGTATCAGAAAGAAACAAATATGGCCATTCCAGGCAGGGGCCATTCATATATTCAAAGTAATGTAGCATTCTGGTCAGTAGCTGTTAGCCCTTAGAGTGGGATCATAGACTGCAGGCCTTTTCAAGCATAGGTTGTTTTTGTGGAAACCTTCAGGAAGTTTGTGGAACTCACTTTTCAGTGTTTTCTAAAGAAAAGTATACCTGCACCCTATGGTACTATGTGAACCTCATCACATAGAAGGTTGATACCAGGTGTGCTGATCATACCTCACAGAATAGCACAGAACAGAGAAACTTTTCTCCCGTATCTTGAAGTTACATACCATATTGCATTATAAATATCTGCATGTCTTTTAATATCTATGCAGAGAACCATGCCTCCGCAGTAGGCCAGCTCTAAACAAGAGTGCAGATACTCTAGCACACATTTGCACTTCATTTCTATGTGGTTCTTCTGTCTGTTTTCCATTTCTTTCCTATTTCCTACCTTTGTGGACTGACATCAGCAGATAAGTGTTCGCTCTCTTTGTTCTATGCCCGAGCCCTGTGTGAAAAAAAAGAAAGGTACATTTTGTAGGCATATGGATTATCTAAGAGTTGTCCTCATAGTTTTTGCCATATGTGCCTGTAGAAGAGTGGTCCCTTTCCTCATGGAATCCTTCAGGTTTCATTTTACTGGCTGAAGAAAATGGACATAAGAGAACATGTGGGAAATGGCAGTAAATCACTAGTGTTGATTTGGTTGACTCAGAAGATGTGTGTTGACTAGGAGACATTCAGGAAGTGTGGGTTTGAGATGGGGAGCGGTCAGTTTTCATTGACGCTTCACGGCTGTAGATTCTACTAGAAACTTAATAGTGAAGCGGTGGCAGCAGCACCATCCTTCACCATCCCCTCTGCCCTGGAAGTTTCAGTTTGTTCCTTCTCAGTGCTAGCCCTGCTGTGGGTGATCCTTGGTGCTTTCCGTTGCAAAGTGCGTATTTCAAGGCAATATACCTGAACTCTAGGGCACGCGTCCTGCCCCCACCTGCTGCCAAATGGCTACGCTGCTGTCTCAAGGGGTAGACGATTTCTTATATACACTTTACTTCTGTGAACAGTGATAAAATTCTGTGACAATGTGAGTCACTTTTGCATTATTACGATGACGGTAGTGGTGGCGGTCTGCCTTCAACACCCTGTTTCCCCAAAAGTTACCTGAAAAACTCCCAGTTAATGAGACTTAGGCTGAAGCTATATCAGCCAGCCTGACCTGTTAGATTATACTGACATTCACTTAGGTCCTAATCTCAAGTCTTCAAAAGACGTGCAGCATTCATCGTTTCCATTGCACCCGGGGAACTGCAAAGCACTGTGTACAATTAGATCTGCAGTTCAGGTACATTTCCATGAGTGACTAATGCTGACAGTAGCACATTGACTCTTTACTCATAAGAGTTGAACAGAACTATTTAAGACTAAAGATTAACTTCCTTAGAGTTTAAAACTGTTAATTTGTCAAATTTGAAAACTGAGGTTAAGTTTGGCCATAGCTGTTAATTAACTTATATGATAGCTATCAATATTTTACTTTCCTGGGATTTTCCATTTCAAAGACATTGAAAGAAGCAGCAAAGTACATTGCTAATCACATAGAGAAGATGGAAGGGGGTTTGTTTGTTTTACCAAGTCATATGCTTTCTTGAAATTTCAGTCCTCTCTTGATTTGTTTGACAGTCCAAATTATGGCATACTGTTATGTATATACATACAGATAATACATGAATTTATGGAGGTCACAAGCACTGAAAAAATTCTAGAGATTTTTCATCCAGGCAGACAAATTCGTTTAGTACAAGAAGAGAAATAGTTCTTTGCACTAATTCAAGGATATTTCTGAGATACAGATCATGCACTAGATTCTGTATAGCTGTGACTGTAGCTCAACAGTTGTTAGGAAAAATAAAGTTCCTGTGAAAGAGGAACTATTTAAAAATCTAGAACTTCACAGACAACTGAATTAAAAACATACCTTGCATATGTGCGTGTAGATTGTAATTTGTTCAAGCAAACTATTGCCTGACTGATTAATCAGAGGTAAACAAATGGAGAGATGTTTTAACAGTGCTACATGTCTGACCAAAATGGGAGAAAAGAGTCTGGGCATAATGTTATCCACGCATGTAGATTTATTACAGAGGTACAAAGTGGCAGAATGTCTGTTGTCTTAGATTATGCTGATATACTCTGTTTGCAACCATAAAAGTTACAATGCTTTTTAAGAGAGTATTTTTAAATGTCATTGATTTGAAGTAAAGTTAGCTTACTATTAACACCTGGTCTAGGCTTGCTTGTCCACCTGGCTCATTTGAAAAACATGCTGGCTTTGGAAATAGATTTATAGATGTGCAGCAATCAGTTGCTTATATGCAGCACCCTATGCATATACAACTGAATAAGCACATGGGCAATCAGCTGGATGCCTTTGGCACACATCCAGCTTGCCGGGCATGTATACCAACTGCACGGTGCTCTCCCTGTGAGCTCTGAGCTGGGGTGTTTATCATGCTGCTTCTTCTCCTGGCCTCCTCCCCTCTCTGCTGGAAAAAATCAATTTGTCTTGCCAGTCAGCAAGACAAATTGGGGAAAATCAGCCATCCTGGCTGGAAGTCAGCAGCCCTGATCAGGGAACCCAGTCATGTCCTCTGAGATTGCTCCTGCTGAGCATCGTGTGCCTTCGATGTACTTTGGCACAGGCTCCATGTGATTCTGAGGGAAAGAACTGATTTACAGTGGTTTACAGCGGGGAGAAGTGGTGATGCTGCGTACCATTTGCCTTCTGGCAGCAGGGAAACAATGCTTGGCTTTTTTATTTTCTTCCTAAGTTCTCCAGTATTTTCCCCAAAGGTACAAAAAAGTTCAAATGCTCATTATTGAAGCAATGCACATGAATTTAGCATGAAGCTAATTACATTCATGTTCTTTTAAGATTTTTTTTAAATTACAAATTTTACAGAGAACTGATAGTCTTTCACACATCTGTATATCTTTTAGCGCCCTCCTTTTGATGCATGTAGATACAGCGTTTTAATTTAAACTGTCATTAGAAATGAATACATCACTTTTTTGTTTTCATAGGTATATATTGAATGTCTAAGCAGATAATGTATCCAACAGTTCTGTACTGAGAACTGGTTGCCTAGCAAGAGTAAACAGATGCCCCGCAATCAGGTTGATTTAATGACTTTTAAAGATGGGATATCAAGTCCTTTAACAGTGGCTTCTAAAACAAAGATTAAATTAGTGAAACAGTAAGTTTTCTGTTACCTGAAAGTCCAAGTATTCTTATGTAGTAAATACTGGTTATGGTTTTCCATAAATTCAGTCCCACTTTTAAGTAAAATTTTTTCCCTGGTAGTCATTCTTGTGAAGGTCTTTGGGTCTGCAGTCTCAAGACACACTTCTCTGTGCTGAAGGACCAACTGAAAGTAATTCTGAAGCGATCTTCAATTTAGGAACTAACCATTAATCAGAGTAGCTACGGGGGAGTACAGCAGCAGAGTGGAATAAAATAATCCTGTCTTGCTGCCCAGATTGCAAAGACTGTTCAAGTACTTGCGATAGATTTCAGTTTCTGAATTCTTTCTCCTCTGCATTTATTTATTTGTCTTGGTAAACCTCTAATAGTGTAGAGTGCATCATTAAAATATTTCCATACATGTGTACGTATATGTATACACATTGTGTCATGTCTACAAGACATGTAGACATGTTTTCTATGAAGTCCATTTATTGCACTTATTCCAGTTGCTACCGTAACGATCCTCTGACAGCAGGAAAGTATTTCTCCACCTTTAAAACTCCTTTTCATGCAGAGCAATGCATTGGGTGTGGGGGGGGTTGTGTGGAACAAGGTTTTTGCTCTGCCAGGCTCAGACAAGCTCCTGAGCCAGGATGCAGGAGTGGGACTGAGGCAGGGATGGGGGGACACGGCACTGGGACCAGCAAGCCAGCCATTCAGAAGTGCTGTGACTTCAAAGGCAAATAAGGGGCAAATCTGGAGCCCTGTTTTTTGGGGCTTCTGTTCATCATGTATTTCAGAGGGATGAAAAGGCTGCCCAATCTTTCTTTATCCCCAAGGGTTCTCTGTGGGGCCAGCCAGTTTCCCAGGGAAGCCAGGTGGCATCTTCCTTTGGGATCTGGTGGCAGCTGCACTTCAAATTCACCTGCAGTGGGTAACAGCACGGCATCCTGCCACTGCAGCTACCAGCTGCTCTGGTGCGACGTCCCTCTGATATCTTGTGTGCCTGTCTGACATCACATCTGGGGGAAAAAAAGGTCAGCCTGGGTAACATGTGAAGTTTTGTATTATTCTAAAAAGAAAGAAGGAAAATTAAAAACTTGTTATAGCTTTTTTCTTTTTTCTTTTACTACATAGAAAGGTAGTAAATAACTAACACAAGACAGTTGTTTCTGGTGCCTGTTTTAGCTAAAATAATGGGAGTTAATTATTAAACCTTCTACTTGGTTGCTCACTTGTGCTGCTGATGCTTTAATCCTGGGTCACAGAAAGTTTAAGAGTGCTTTACAGGGGAGACTCACTTCTTTTTGCCTCAACCTTTCCACGCTGACAGGATGCTACGGGTTTTGCTGCTTACTCTCTCTGTAGTTGCTATTGCTCATGCTGAGCTCTGCAAGCCAGGTAAGTCTTGGAGCTGATTTCCATCCTCCCCCAGGTAAATGTAGCTATGAGTTTCTGCCTACAAAGCTGCCAGCTTCTCAGATTTTTATTTTAACTTGTTGTCTCCGGTTTGAAGATTGAAATTCTGAGCATTTGCTTCTTTTATGAGTTTGCAAATTAAGTACAGAAGTTGATCTCACTTAAAGAGGTAATGGTAAACCTCACTGAGGCTCTGTAGGGCTGCACCTTTTTTTCTTGCTAGTGACTTCTAACCAGTGATCTGTTAGAAGCTGCCATCTGTGAAATAATTAGAGAAGTAAATGATTTAAAATCTTATTTTGGCTGACTGTCAATACATGTTTGCTTTTTTCTCTTTGTGTCAGATGCACAGAATGCTTTCAAAGTACGTCTTAGTATCAAAACAGCTTTGGGAGATAATGCAGTAAGTAAAGTATCTTTACGTACTCTTCCTAACTGACTATCTGCCAAAACAGAAGTAATATATACTGTAGAATTTCTGAAGGCAGCACAAGCAATTTGTTCTGAAATGTTAATTGTAATAGATTGCTCAAGTCATGATCCAGGCATTTCTTGACATTTGACTAGCCTACCCCTTCAAATGGTGTCCTTTAAGAGAAGTATAAAGCTTGCCTTTGCATAAAGATAATTTTCTGTCAAAGATTTTTTTTTTCCCCTGGAAAACAGAGGAGATGTTACACTTTATGCATAGAGGTGCTTCGTAAATCTAAGTCTGTATTTTGGGAAAAGCACTTCTTGAGAGCGCTAATTGTAAAGTTAATCATGTCTGGGAAGAGAAGCAGGAAAAGATTGTTAGGTGTTTATGAAATAGGACTTTATGTCAGGCTTTCAGACAAGCATGATCTGTAGAGGAGATTCAGGACTGAAATGCTTTGGCTTAATTCAAGTCCTTAAGCTTAATGTGGAAGTACTGGTGTGAGCAGTAAGGGTCTGTAATACATGAAAGTTTGGGACATGAGATGACCGAATTGTCCTTCCTGATCTAAGGTGCTATGAAGTATGGCCGAGCCCAGTACTTCATTTGTAGCTTTGAATGCTTAGAGCAAATCTGCAGAGTGTTACAGGTCTCAGCATAAAATTAGATATGAAATGTCTCAGACAGTCATTTCTACAGGAAGTCTGGTGTCTGATTATGTTAGGAGCCCTGGGAAACAAAAAGCAGTAGGTTACATGTTGTAACAGATTGGAGATATGAGAATCTCCCTGTGACTGTAGAAGCTGTTCTAAAATTACACTGAAATATCAGGTAATTTAAACTAACGTTAACAGGGACCTAATTCCGCTGGTAACCTCATAAACCAGACAAATTGGGAAGAAATATTCAAGATACGCGCTAAAGTATTTGTCCGTGGAAATTCATATTGAAGTCAATTCTCTTGGGTGAGAGACTTTAATTAAACAGTAGCGTGAGCCTGGTTTGTTTAAAAATATATTAAAAATAGTGTGATCCTATGGCTGAAAATATGTGAAAATCATTATTGAAGCTCCTCTTGATGATAATTGCTAATATTTTGATTTAATCTTAGTTCAAAATAGTGGCAAAGAATAAAAATTGCAGTTCCCAGTAATGTTCTTTCTTAGTGCTTTTTACTTCTCCAACTGTAGTAAAGTAAGGCATTTTTGTTTGATCATTTGCATTTTTTTTTATTTTTCATCCAGAAAGGGTATGATATAAATCGTTAATCTTAAAGGTACTTTATAGTACAAGAAAAAAGTAATAACCGAGGAGTCTATTTTTTTTGTAGATAGATAGTAGTTTATTTCATAGAACAAAGTGTGTGAAAGCCCTAAGAATGTGACAATGTAGAACAGCATCTTAGAACAACAACATCCCGAAAGTGGTATGATGGCATATGAAATTACCCACAAATAATGAACAATTTATTAAGTGCACAGGTAGTAGTTCCTTTTCATAGCCATTGCAATCTTCTCTGCAAATTGAAAACTTGAAACTGCTATCAAACTGAAATTCATTTTGGTTAAAGAATTTGGGACGTTTTTTAATTTATTTATTTAGCAAAGAAAAGCATAATACTGTCATTGTATCACAGTGGGACACAGCCAGTTTAGAATAAATTGATAGGATGCTCTGCCACTGAATTCCATTTCATTCATTTTTAAGTCACTTCAAGCTAGATGATAATAGAAAACCCTGATACTGTGGGCATTTTGCTCTAGGACTGGCAGGATATCGCCAATGTGTGTGTATGTTCAGGGACATATAAATAGTTTAGTGTAGTTTTCCATATGCTTTAGTGCATGCCATCCAATTTGTGTGAGGCTGACAGGACACCATTTTTTAATTCGTTCACAAGGTAGGCTGTACTTTGAGGTAGGGAGTGCCATTTAGTGTATTTATATAGTTCTTATCACAATGGAGCTGAAAAGAGCAGCTACAATACATTAAGTATTTAGCTGTTATCATCTGATTTGCAGATAATGAGTGTACTTGACAGAAACATTGTTTGCTAACAGGTGGGAGGAAACATGATGTCTGCAAGCCTAAATGGAAGGAAGGTGATTTATGAGTCTCTCTGAGGATGGTGTTAACTTTGAGTGGCTTCTGGAGTAGCTGCTAGTCACTAGTTGCTTCCTATTCATGGAGTTAGCAGAGTGCTAGAGAGTTAATTCAAAAGGGCCAAAGACAGGTAGGGAGTGAGCAGCAGTGATGTGCATTGAGTAGTCTGTGTAACTCGGTGTCACCACTCAATTTAACCATAAGAGTCTAAGAGCTAGCAGCTCAGGGGCTGCAGCCAGGTGAAGTAGGAGGTGCACTTCCCTTCTGGCTAATGTATCCAGGCTGTTTCCAGGGTAGAGGATGAAGAGGAAAAAAGGCTGACGTGGACCTGGTGTCTTGCCACCAAATGGGACCCAAAAGTGGGTTCATTTGCCTTGTAGTCACACTGAACGGCTGTAGCCACTCTGAATGGCTGTCTAGTTAAAACACAGAACCACAGAACCATTCAGGAGGGAAGGGACCCTGGAAGGTCCATAGTCCCCTGCTGCTCAAAGCCAGGTCAACACTGACGTCAGATCAGGTTGCTCAGGGCAATACTGTAATATTATAACCTCGTTCTGCTAACTTAAATTTTGTCTTCCTTACAGCACTACTGTAGCATTTCACTGCATCAACAACCTACACCCATCATCTCTTACCCATTATTTCATCAATCTCCTCTTTAACTAACAGCCACTTAAGACTGGCTTTCACTATCAGCTGTGCCTGATTCTGCTCCTCCTTAACATATAAAGGATAGCAAGTGCAACTGAGCCAAGGTGTCTGTGTTTGTTCCTTTGTAGAGCATGGAAGATGGTAAATATTAACAGTTCTGATACCATTGAGTAAGGTTTAATTGATAACAGAGTAATCTTACGTTTATAACGTGTGGTTGCAAATGCTATTTAATACATTTCCTCTATAGCAGCACAAATTGTGCATCAAAAGCTGTACTTCATAGGAACATAAGAACAGAAGCAACATCCTCAGTCATCAGCTGCTGTCCAGGCCTTTGCAATTGGAGGGTAAGGGTGACACTGATAAAGCCCCATAGTAGAGTGATTCAGGTTTCTCTGCACCTACCCCTCTGCCTGGAGAAAGCTGATGATTAGAAATTGGCTTCTGGCAATTCGTGCCCACTTTTCCTGAGTTCATACAGTTTATTAGCTTAAAAGTATTCATGCCATACTTTTCCTCCTCGCCATGTTGCCTCCCCCCTGCATATTCCTGGATGCAGTCGTGTATAGAGGTTCTTGTTCATATGGAGCCCACAACCATCTCCATCTGCTCTATCTCTTATCTGATCACTTTTTCTTGGGACTTCTTGCCTTCTGACCAGAAGATTGTCTGCAGCATCTTCTCACTCAAGCAGGCCCCTGATTTCTGCTGAGCTTTCTCTGCCGGTCTCCTCTCCCATTTCTTGCAGTTTTCTGTTTATTCTTTTTTTATTTATTTAAAACTGCTTACTCTTTCAGCTGGGACTGGAGTTACTACAAATTATTTTCCCTGCTTTGAGATACCCTTTTTGTTACTCTGATTTAAAGAAGCTCTAGGCTACCACATTAGTTATGAAAACTGATTACTTGATAGTGACGAATTGTTCATATATACATGTACTGCACTAAACATAGACATTACAAGTACATATACTTGGTAGTGTTGCATTGCATTTGTGTCCATGTGAGCATGAAATGGAGTGTGCTTCATCATTATCCATTTTCAAGACAACTGATTAAATTATCTCTACAGCTGGTTTAATCCATTGGATGACAAATTATTTTTTTTCTGTCCTTTTGGACCTGTTCTCAAAGACTGCAGGTGGCATGTAGGGATTCAGTCAATAGTACCACACACAGAAAAAGGAAGATCTCCCCTTTTAGTGCTGCAAATTGTGCAAATTGTTTAAATACAGATGTCTTTTAAATGGCGATAAATAGTTTTATGGCTGTCATCTATATTAATTCCTCTACTGCATTATCTCTTTTTCTTTTAGTACTAGTTGTTGTCATTACTGTCGTGTTTTCATCAGTGCAGTGGGATCAAAATACAGGCTTTTATGATTTCTTTTCAAAGAGGTTTGGTTTTGTTTTGTTTGTTGGTTTTTTTTTTTCCCAGTTTAAGTTCCCAGACTGGCATGCATTATCACAGTATGCTTTTACACCACCCTTCATTCACAAGGCAAGAGTGGTGAGTCAGAACCCAGATTCTCAGCACTGTTTCTGGGTTTTAATGCAAGTTGTCTGTTGCTCAGTTTTGTTGTCTCTGTCCTACAACATCGCAGAGAGCCCATTTCATAACTCATCATTTGTCTAGGGATGATATGATCAGTATGACTCTCTGCCCTTTAAGTGACTGCCTCCTTTCCTGCTTAGGTTCCCAGTCCACAGGATGTCAGAGCAAAATGAGGGGTCATGCCCAGAAACTAGACTCCTTTGTTCTGCGGAGAGATGCAGCTCCATGCATCCAAAATCAGAATTTAAAAACCAGAATTAAGATTTGGCATTTTCAATGCTTTATTCAACTACATTTTGATGTATATTGCTGGTTTTTGAATCTGTTATAAAGGCCCATGAAAAAAGCAGGTGCAAGTTGTCAACAGGGTTAAGTATCCACACTGTTGCATTTCTGGTTTGGATGATTGCAGATTTTTTTTTAATGTTGGAAGTTAAAGATTAGATTTGTGTTCTGACCGACTGAAGAAAGCTGCCTCTAACCTCCTTTAATATAATTCTGAGAAACTATTAATCTCTGTAATCTGCTGAAAGGGAAAATTCAATCAGTATGCCTCCGTCATGGCTCTTGTTATAAAAATATAATAGGTGCAGTTCTTAGAGGTCATTAGAATTGCGTATGTGAATGAAAGCCCAGGGGAACCTAGTGAAGCTATCTCAGAAAAACAAAATTATGGAAGAATAATTTTTTCATCAAGATCACAGGGAACAGTTTTTGGAGCCTGTATTATACTTCTTATTGAAGTAGTAATTATGCTGCTTTCTTTTGTCTCATGTGTGCTGTAGTAATTTGTACTATAGATGAGTCTGTCTTCTTGTTGCAAGGGTGGTGTGCAGCAATAAGTCCATAATCTCATTTTATTTCCTGGTGTCCTGAAATCAAACTTTCAGAGACTACCTCCATCATCAGCTTTTTTCTTAATTTGGGGGCAGAGCCAAATGGTCTTTGAGAGTGGATTTAAACCTTCTGTGTTAACAGGGTTTATCCAGCAAAAGAGGCAAGGCCATGGGTGCAGCTCTGTGGGGAGAATTCTAGTAATAATCTGCCTAGTCTTCGGTACAAGAAACTTTACATCTCCAGTTTGGTCAGCTTCAGAAACATTCAATTCATTCAGTTTTTGGAAAGATTCTTTGCACTTTATATTGTGCTTTATAACAGCTGTTAGAAAAAGTTCTTTGTGCACACTAAATAATGGGCAGGAGTTTATTTTTGTAGCATAATCAGAAAATTTATGCATTTTCTCGATCAATAGCATTTCAAGTTTAGCGACTCTTTTCCCTCTCTGTACGGCCAGCACTGGTGCTGAAACTGATTGTTTTCCATCTTCCTTTACAGTATGCCTGGGATGCTAATGAAGAGTACCTCTTCAAAGCAATGGTGGCTTTTGCAATGAGAAGATATTCCAGCAAGAGCACAACTCAGTAAGCATCTACTCTGAATTGCCTTATACATATTAACAGTGCTGCATGTAGTGGCCCATTCTCTGCTGTACTGAACTGTAGAAATCCTTACATACAGCTTCTAACAACACACCATTCTGCTGTATTTCTTTGACATCCAGATATATGTTAAACATCACACTCTCTCTGTCTTAAACAATGTTCAATCTTTGGACTGGCATCTCTGCTGATGGGAATTGACACAGCTGTGGATCTCAACGGGGTTGTGCCAATTCACTCTAGCAGAATCTGGCAGTAGGACATAATACCTTCTGGAGACCATACTGGGAGGCGGCGAAGGAGCACATTGGAGAAGTCAAGAAATGGAATACAGATCCTTGATTAAGCAGCTTTGGTGCACATTTTCTTAGAGCACAGCTTGAGCAGTATGCTGGAGATGAGCTGACTCAGAGAACTTGAAGATGGGTATCTATGCTAGTGCTGTGTTCTGTTGGGGGTACCTATCCCTCATATTGCAATGGTTGAGTTACCTAGCATCAAGAAGTTTCAGATGTTGCAGTTCAGACATAAATCATCCTTTAATTGGTTTGGGGATTATATATACCCTGAGGTACTGAATATTCTTCTCAGGCTTCTGATCCTTGCTACTTATGAAATTAGGTACCAGATTAGACAGACCATTTACCAAGCTGTGTTGTCAGTATGTTCCTTCTTAAATGAGAAATCTTGTAAGTGTGTTTCTATAGACCCATTATTTTTTCTTTGTTTTTCAATCTTTAAGGAAAGATTTATAGTTCTGGTAGGCTAATGAGGATAAGGTTCCTGATTTACTTTAAAAAAAATTAAACCTGCTTCAGGCTGCCATTACATCAGATGAATCATATTCCATTTTGCAAAGATATTAGTTAACTTTAGTCACATGATGATTATGGTGGCTCCTGAAATTTCTCTTAAATAGAAGGTGATTTCCCCCTCCATGTAACAGGAGTGTTTGGTTCCTTGCTGTTTCATTTTTATTCCTGAGAAGTTGTCTTCTTTGAGCAAGAGAACCGTTGCACCAAGCTTAACAAAAACAGCCAAGTATGCTACTGCACAGAATTAAAATGACACTTGAAAAAATGAGTTCAAGATACAAGCTAATTAAAAGTGATTATGCAGGGCTTTTTCTCAGGTTTTCAAATTAGCAGGGTTTTCATCCAGCATCTGATTCTAAAGATTTACTTTTGTATGCTTATTTTAGTCTCAGGTCCTTTTTTAAATTACTCTGTTCCTTCAAAATCATGGTGCTTTCTCGAAGCAAAAAAACCTATGTCAGAAGCCAGTGATCTTTAACTTCTTTCATACTGGCTTGATTTTTTTTCCCATTCCTGCACCACACTTTCTATTAAGTCTGCAGAGAGCCATGGTGCTTGGCTCACTTTATTCAGTTTCCTACCAAGACAGTTATTCCTATGGACAAATATGACAATGTCACTGTTACTCCAGTTTGGAGGTGGAAGTGCACACATCAATAATTTCCTGCTACTATGTTTGTCAAAGGAGAAGTCAGTATCATGTTTGGAAACAGCTAGGTGTGGGCATCTTTACCTCTTTTTAAGATGGTATAGGACTTCCTTGTGAGGTATAACTTGTTGGGGCGTACCTTGGAGGTATAACTGTTAACTTTTCTAGGACTTTTAGATATCTTTGGGGTCACGTGTATTCAGCACGTCAACCAAAGGACAATTGTGCAGCTCAGAGATCTGGTACAACTTACTAGGCAACAGGCTGAGGAGTTTTCTATCTGTAGATCTCTCCTAAATCCCAAGGGACCTCAGAGTCCCTTTTCAGTGATGGAGAGCTAGATGAACCTCCTAATACATGCCAAATAACATGCCTGTTACATGGGAGCGAGAAAGCTGTGAAAGCCTCCATCCTGTTAAAAGTCCTGGAAATAATGCACTCCTTTCTCTGCTCTTGTGGCTGGCAGTCAGAAGGATCTAGGTACAGAGGAAGGAATGCAGTCCATCTCCATCCCCTCTGCAGGGGGTGTGGGAGCACTCAGAGTCCCAGAGGGTACAGCAGCATGCCGTGCACACCGGAATGGCACTCTTGCATAGCTGGTAAGGACAGTGGCAGGGTTTTGCAGTGTTGTGAAGAGGGAAACAGAAGCAGGAGCTTGTGGCAAATAAATTATGTTACACCATAGGAGCTTTTACAGATAAATGCCAACAGATTTTCTTTGGGAGCTTAAAAAGATCAATGATCAATTATCTTGTCATAAAAGAACTAACTGTGACTGCATTTTGGTAGCATCTAAATTTACACAAATTTTGCATCTGGCTAATTAAAGATTTTTGTTAAAATAAAGACTTCTGAAAAATTCACCAGTATTTTGCATAACCAAATAGTGGTTCTGCCAGGGTACATATTTTGCACACGGCCATAATCAGGATGTGATAAACCTCTCCTTTAACATCCCATCAATTTCTAACACACCCACAGCCCTGCAGTAACTCACAACCGCAAATGACTCCCACATGAGACCAAATGCCATTAACTTCAGCAAGCTGGATCAGGCCCCCAGATAATTTGTGTGGTAGATCAGCATAACCATTGTTACGGTCTGTCCCATCATTTTTCAGATACAGAGTCAACTTTTGTTAGGCTTATGAGGCTGGATAAAAGCTAGCCTGTAGTGAGAAGCATTTGAATGTGCTGCTGGAGACAGCAGTTGATGCTGTTGTTGCTCTTGTGTAACCACTGAGTGACCCAATGCAGAATGGACAGGATTGCACATTACATCTTGAGTTCTCTACAGTTAATTTCTAAACTAAAATTTAATAAATCATGGAGTTGTGTTTAATGTTTGAAAGGCTTGTCAAATTTTCAAGTTTGTATGAAACAGAAGACAATCCATCAAATTACTCAGTATTATTAATACAGATGAAATAAAAACTTATTTTTCAGTGGAGAAATAAACCCCCTTTATTTCCTGCTCTATATATGGCCTTTCAATTCATTCTCAATACATAACATTCATGAGCTACGTAAGGCAACCTTTGATCTCTCAGTGTTAAAAAATTATTGTCTGTAGTCTGTGTTTGTAACCCTGGTTTCTCTAATCTGTCACTCATTTGAAATAATATGCATCTATTTTGGGCCTGAGACTAGTTAATCTTTAGAGCAGAAAGAATGTAATCACATTTACTTCCATTCAAGTAGCAGAACCTATTTTTGGTACATCTTCCCCCCATTTGTAGATTAAAAGAGCTGCAGTTTTCCTCATGAAATGACTAGAAAAAAATTTCATCATCATAATCCATCTTTCTAAGACAGGCTATTTTGATACAAAAATATTGTGACCATTTAGAACAAGAAAATAAACTTCTAGAGTTAAAGTTGTTACATCCAGGTGATCCCATGGCTGAAGTTCACAAAAAGGAAGAAAATAACGGTCCTTTGCAGGAGTAGCTGCACAGCACTGTGTTGGAAGAGGCCTGATGCTTTTCGAGAGCTAGAGATAGGTGCTTGAGACTTGTGGAATGTGGTTCTCCCACGAGCTAGTGGCCACTGTAGGCACCCTTTGAGTCTCTGGCAGCTCTTTCTTACCCCTAAACAATGCTTTCAATCTCAGTCAGGAACAATGATGGTGTTTCAGGCCAAGGAACCATCCTGCACTCTACTCATTGGTGTTCACTTGCATATATTAAAGGAAATGCAGTTTTGGACTTTTGCCATGGTGCCGTAAGGCAGAACCAGGATCCTGTAATTTTGATGATAACAGTCTCCTATAATCTCCATGACAAAAGTCTATCACCTGCTAAGGAAATAAAAAGATGTCCACATAGATGGTTACAAATGCACTTGATTATCATAGTTCATGGAGAAGTCAGGTTTCTCTGTGATTCTCAAACCTAAACAGTGTAAAGGCATAGTTTTGTAAAGCTTCTGCATGCTGTGAATCAAACCTGTGTGCCAATAGCGCAGGGGAAAAACAAAAGGCGTACCTGCTGCAAAGAAATTGCCACATTGGTGCTTGTTGAACCAGTCTGTTTTGGTGTTTACTCAATCCCCTTTGAACTTCTCATAAGCGGTACTATTCTCTTTGGAGCCTGAGAGGATTTACAGCATTCAGATTCTGCTGATGAAAAGGTGGCAGCGGTGAAGCCAGGTTTTACATGCTTGAAATCAAGAAAATATTTTAAATACAACAAGGAGCAGAAAGGAGGCAAAGTTTACATATCCTAGTGTAAGCCTTGCTGCCCCATTGATTCAGTGCTGTTTGTGAGAGAGAGAGAGAGAGAGAGATGCTGCCCCTAATGATGACCAACTGCCCTGTCTCATGTTGAAAGCCTTGGCATTGTAGGGAAGACCCCAGGTTGAAGAGTCTGAGTCTCTGCATGAGAATGAGAAAGTCAGGGTGTTTTGCCAGTCTCTATTTACCAAACTGATCTTTCTCTTTGGGGATCAAACTTTCCTCACTCACCCCATTTCAAGAACATCTGTAGGACAACACAGATTTTCTGCCTGGACCAGTTTTTGATTGTGCCACAGAAATTCCAGCTTTAAGAACTGCAGTAACATGAAGCTTTAGGTCCTACTGCTGGTTAATTTTTCTGATGGAAAACTACCTCTGCAGATACAATTTTAGATGTTCTGTGAAGTCAGCAAGCGTGTCAGCCGCTAGCCAAAAGTAGACTCTTTTTTTCCCCCTTCTGTAAATTTTGTGCTTTGCTTTTGTTTTGGAGGGAATAAATCTGCTTTCATCTTCTAACTGTTGCCAGCAAACTGATGTGAGCATCTTTTCAAATTCCAGAGAATGCCTTTCCTCTTTTATCCATAAAATTTCTCAGTATTTGCAAAATTGACATTGTCCCAGAGGTAAAAGTGGGTATTTCACCTCTGCAAAATCATTGCTTTCCATTTTATTGTGTATCTCTATGGAGTATATACCTTCTCTATAAAGCAAAAGGTTGCACTATGCAAGGCACCCAAAAAAGCTTTCAGCAGCAAGTCAAATATTCCTGTAAAATGTCCATAATGAACTACTGTGATCAAGCCAATGTCTGTCCTGCCTTAAAAGCAAACTTGTTCTTTTCTGGATGGAGACTACACATTCATCTGCAGTTTTGGCTCCCTTATATATCCTACCTCATGCTTCCTCTCCTCAGGCCACTGCAGAGGTCATTTAATTATATTTGTAATTACCCAGTAGATGGCACTACACAGCAGAGCTCTGTGGCAGGGGACCTTGCTTGCAGCCGGGGATTTGTCACCCTGAGGAGCACAGGCTGGAAAGGCAATGTTAAAACTTGCGTTTTGATGATGGACAGGCCAGATCTTGAAACCAATTATAGTAGTTTGTAATGGGCGTTACAGATATCACTGCAACTTAGTTAAAAGAGGGGCTGCATTATTCTTTGCTGGCTCACTGCAGGGTGCCCTTCTCCAGAAGAGCAGGTACTATCTGAGGACTGATCATCCCAAGCAGGGTCTGTCAGGACAGGGTGGCTGTGTTGTGCTTGTGGCCAGGCAGACATTGTGCAAAGGTGAACCAAGTCTAGGTTGCTTTCTGGAAGTAAAAACGATCTTAATTCTTGGTCCTGGACTTTCAGAATATCTGCTCGCTGCTTGGACATGGCCAGTAAATCTGAAACCTGAGCCAAATTCTTTGGGTTATTTATTAATGATAGAGAGCTAAGTATTTTTTCCTATTTTTATCTTTCTATCTATCTGTCACTGAATTCATAAAGGCTTTGGCTGTCCTTTTGTGATGCATACTATGTTTCTTGCCATGCTGTAATAAATGCCACCTTCTGCAATTCCTGTATATTACACAAATTTGGCTGGTTTGTTTCTTAGCTGTGTGAATAAACTAGGGACAGATACAAGAACATTGGGCCACTATCTATCCTCAGGCACTATTATGATACTATGCCTTCATGATACTATGCCTTCATTCTTTAGTTTAAATACTCATGATGATGTCATTCCATGAGGTTTTTCTAATGATAGCACCACCATTTACTAGTATTAGTGGTAGAAAACACATTTGTAAGAATTGGAAATAAGGCATTTAAAAGACATTTTGCACATTTTTTACATAGTATGTGTGACTGTGCCCTTCCACTATTAACTTCACATAAAGCTCAGCAATCTCCTTTTAAAACAGGTAAGTTTGTCATAGCATAAGCTAAAGACATAGGCCAGTGCCAGTAGACTGTCTAAATTTAGCTTGTTGACTTCACTCTGTGCCTGACTCTGTGAACAAAGATGTCAAAAAGAATAACATCAATTTTATTGCTTTTTCCACCAACAAAGGTATCCTGTAGAAGGACTCCACTCACTTGAAAATCATGTGGGGAATCCCCCATGTCTGGTTCCAGTGGTATTTATTAGCTGTCAAAACCAAAGTTCTTAGTTCACCAATGCATTTGCCCCATTATATTGCCTTTGTCACAGCCCTGATGATTAAGATGCAAATATGTATTTTTCCATTTGATTATGCTAAATGTATGTCCAAGACCATGCAAGTTTGTAATAGATTTAAAAATTCATTTGAAGACTCAAGTTTGGTCTCAATAAGCTTAATTTTTTTTATGATATTGGGAAATGGGAAATGCTGTTAGTGATATTTCTTCATTGAGCTGTTAACTTTTTTTAAAAGTAAGAATTTTTCCTCCTTTAGATGAAAACAATAATTTAAGAAAATCTAAAATGTTTCAGTAATTCTTTCCATACTTCTTAATGATGTTTTTTGTTTTAACTATCTGCAGAATTTCCAATGTGCTTCTGTGCAATGTGACGGATCGGGTGTCATTTTGGTTTGTGGTCACAGATTCTTCAAAAAATTTGACAACTGTTCCTGGAAGTGAGGTAGAGGCAGCCATCAGGTACAGTCACTGCTTCTGCAACCTTTTCTTCCTTGCTGACTGAGGATGCTTTCTCTCTCTTGGCCTTGTATGAATGAGCGCTCTGCCTCTTTAAGGATGAGCTAATCCAAGCAGGTAAAAAAACAAGGGGTCACTACTCTTTCATGTGTGTGAGATTAGAGGATCTTTAACAGTCCCACAGAATGCAAGGCACGTGAGCCTTGGAATTACAATTTTTCAGGGAATCTCTCTTCATCCTGGAGCCTCAGAAGAAACCTAGTCCCTTTCCAGAGCCCTACCTGTAATTTGCTGTCCAGTGCATGGCACATACACTGCTCTCATCCAGCTGCTACATTTCCCAGTGAGAGCCTTCTCCCTCAGATGATGGAATTGCACACTTTCTGAGTGGGATTTATATAATTTGACTTTCACTGCATGCCACATGCTCATCTACACCTGGATTAATGACCATAGGCTCACTTTTGGTGTTTCTCAAGTACAGTTCATCAGACTTAATTTAGAAGTCATCTTTCACTCAAGAGGAACTCATGTGAACTCCTCATGAGCAGAGCTGGCTCTGTCCCATCTTGGCTTAAACAATTTTATACTCACGTTCTCTTCATACCAGCTCTTTTTAGAAAGCCAGTCAATATCATAGCTGAGCGTTGCTTATACAGAGTACCATGTAGTACAGATTGGTCTGCTTTTTACTAAATATCATGTTCTATATCCAATAAAAGCAAGAGTGTGGAGCTGAAGAGGGAAAAAGAAAAAACGGGTAATCTGACTTCAGTGGTCTACCAAACCTGCATGAGGGGTTTATAGAGATGACTCCCACAACATAACTCACATACATTTCTCAAGCACAGAGTGGAAAACAGACCTCTTTGTTTTTAGGCATTCTGTACTTTGTCTTGAAAATTCATGTTATCTCTATGGAGGTGTAATGCCTAATTCCTGATGAATGAGTATGCGTTCTTTTGGAAAGATTAACTTTTAAGCTTATGAGCAGATTAAACTATTTCCTACAGAGACACTAAACAATAGCTTCATAGTATTAGTGGAGGAAGAAGATTATTTATTCACTGAAGCTCTCTGTAAGAATGCTGGAATGCAGGGTTTTTGCATTTCTGTTATTCTTTGATAAATTCAGTAGCATAAGCTGATTTATTTCTTTTATGTGCCCTGTTTGCCACAGAAATTAGATGCTATTATAGTATGTTTGGTTTTTAACTGTTGTCTGTCACCAGATATAGAATATAGTATTTATGAAAAGTTTTAATTCCTTCCTAACTTAGAAACAAGAAATAAAACAGTCTATAAAACTGCAATACTTTCTATTCAATTGCTTCTGATTGCAGGCTTCTATACTAAACCGTTATTCTAATTCTTCATACTACAGTAGCACATAAGAGCACTACCCATGGACCAGAATTTTATTGCGTGAGACTCTGCAAAGTAAGACTAAAGAGGAAAGTAAACCTTCTGAGAGCTCTGTATGATAGCCAAGATCTTGCATAAATATACACAAGATATATTTATGCATATACAAACACAAAATACACCTTTAGTTGCCTGCATGTGTTTCAGCACATAATTCTGTAACTCCAGCCATTAGATGAGGGTAAACAATGCTTACTTCAGCTGTTCACAATGATCCTTTCATATTAATAAGGACGAAAATCTTTTCTAAATCAAAGACGGCTTATTGTATGAGTCTTATAATATGCCATGGCTTTCAGTCCTCTCCAGGAATGCTAGCTTTCCATTAAGGCTAAGAACTTCCTTCCTCTTTAAGGGACAGTCAAGCATTATGATTTCCAAGAACAGAAGTTTGCAAAATCTTACCTCTATTTCCCATATATTTATATTTAGGAAATACTTGCTCTATTAGATAAATTGAACTGAATACAAGAAAGAGCTGCTGTAAATCATATGTCTGCAATCAAAAAGAATCTCTCAAGACCAATATATGTAATACATTTTCTAAAAGACTTTTAACATTTTGAAAAAGCTAATGAAAGATACTACTAAAGCCTCATAAGGCTGCTTAGATTCAGATCCAGAAATACTTGCAAATGCTTAGACGTAATGAATGTGGGTGGAGATTTCCATTAAAGGGTAGCTGTTGTACTAATATGAAAAAGCATATTTCTCAGACTTACAGTTTCTCCTAACGGAAAAAAATGTACAAAGTACAAATCCCTTTAGCTGCATCCTGCAGGGAAGAAGGGCAGAGGTTGGCTATAGGGGTGGATTCTTCTGGACCAAATTGTATCATGTGCTTCATGGACCTAAGAAAATTTACAACAGCAAGAGCAGATGTACCGGCCCGTAACATGCAGGATGGTTCAGTTTTAGGAACTAAGAGGCATGGGTAAGTAAATCCTCCGAGCACTGCAGGCTAGATCTGCCATTCCCATGCTAATCTTGAATCCTGCATGAACAAGACAAAAGGGATACCCTTACAGATTACAACCTGCTATGTCTTCAGCACATGGTCCAAACCAGAAATAAATAATGACACTCTACTTCGTGTCTCATCTATATTTCCCTATTTTTCAGATAAATGCATATGAAAGTCTGGTGTTCAAAACCTTGCAAATGTGTGGGTCTGTGTAATCCTACCAACATCATGCTGCATCAAATTCAGGCCTGCCAGACTTGCAGCACATGCATGAAAATTCCTTTTTTGCCTTTCATCTTTTTAACTTATAAAATACCTTTCTAAAGAGCTGTGGTGTTCCTTGTGTTTTTATGAAGGATGAACCGGAACAGAATCAACAGTGCCTTCCTACTGAGTGACAAAACACTGCAGTTCCTGAAGATAACCTCAACCTTATCACCTCCGGTTGAACCCTCCACGCCTGTCTGGCTTATTGTATTTGGTGTTGTTCTTTGTCTCATTGTGGCTGGAATTGTTTTCCTCGTTGTTGCAGGGATTCAGCAACGCAAGAAGTAAGCGGCTTAGCTTTTCTTCTGTTTTAACTGAATACTGGCAAGTTAAGTCAACTGGGCTGGTTTTGCTTTCCAGATCAGCGTCAGAGAAGTTATAGCTGTATCCCCCTTCCCTCCATAGGTAAAGATAACCCATGTGTCCTTTTCTAAGGAAAGGGGTTAAAATTTTTAACTATGAAGTATAGATGCCTTAGTAATGCTGGGGTGTAATGAGGAAACAAGGAGTATAAGAATATGATAGAGATGATAGCTTTACAAAGCTATCATTTACAAAGACGTTTGCTGTCATTCTTCTCAAGGTTTAGTGTGCCACAGGTGAGCTTCCTCTCACAGACTTCCCAAATAGCTACCAAGATGGAGAAGGATGGCAGTGACCATGCCTCTTCCAGGGCAGTACTGTCAAGGCTAAAAAAAAAATAATTACTGCTGCAGTTTCAGAAGCCTCAGCAGAGGACACAATAATGATTAATGTGTGGCTGAAGAGGACCTGCTCAATGGAATGCTGCATGGTCTCACCTACCATACATGACCTGATGAGTCCAGTGTACCCAGCCCTTCACAGGTTCATGACCAGATCTCCCCATGAAACTATGTGTTTGTTGTTTGGCAGTAGGGTAGAAGAGAGAGACTCTCTTTTCCTCTCAGTTTCTGCCCTGTGGTGGCAGTGGTGAAAAAGAGAAGGCTATTCACGCTTCCCTAGTGTGAGCATGTTGGAGCAAGGCAGAGTAGGTGTTTTGGTCCTACCATCTCTGTTGGCTCAGAGTTGGCCGTAAGGAATAGAAATTTCTCTGAAAAAGGGTAAGTTTCTTCTGACAGCTAGATAATGTTAAAATTTTTGATTGTATGGTGGACTGCATCTCCCAATGCATCAGAACAAGGGATTCATATATGAAAAGTGTTGTGTTGCAGAGACTTTTCCTTTCTGCCTCCTTATTACCTTGAACAATGTTAAAAGACCTCAGAAAACCAACACTTACTGCAAAAGATAAGTGCTTCTCATAGAGAACCCTTAGTAGCATAGTCAGAATCCCTTCAGTTATATTTTGCACTCAGAAGAGTGGCACAAATTTGCAAAACCCCTTTCTGTTTTCAGAAAACTAAATTCAACCAACAATAGATGAGAGATGCTGTTAGGGAAAGATTCTGGGCAGGTGCTTGTGATCTGTGGATAATTTAAGCCCTGTCACAACCTTCCATGCGGTATGGGCTGAGTTATTTCATCCCCTGAACCTAGTCAACCTCTTCTGTAAAACTGGAGAATGATGTTCCTACCTGAAGCCCGTATCTGCCTTCCGTGTAGTATCATGGCTCTGTGCATCTGTGTAGTGCCTAACTTCAAGGGAGTCTTTGAAGACTTCAAGTAAGTGTAATATAAATAATTTATACTAAAGAGTTGTGATTTTTCTAAGTAAAATAATAATTTGTGCTTCTTATCATGCTGAAAGACAGCATCTCCCCCCCTCTATTTTCAAAATAACTCAGCTGAGTTTGAGCAGTTCCCCTCAATGTGGTGTAAACTGCATGTTCTTATCATCATACTATCAGTAATACGGCTTGTTGCTGCCCACCTACAGTCACTTGGCATCCTCTCTGTCTCATGCTCTTGTCCTTTTAGTTGTTTTGCTCCTTTTCACTTCTTCCTCTGTTTCCCTGCTCTGCCTTTATGTACAAACTTTCCTTAGAGAAGATTTATCTGTGACTGAACTCGTAACTCTCCTTTCACATCAATGGCATCTGCAAACGGGTTGGAGAGTGAGAGAGATGGTAAACCAAGGATACATTTCTTCTATCTACTGTTGTAAAGACTAGAGAGGTAAAAGGAATGGGCTGGTCTATTCAGCTTCTTGAAAGAAGATCCAGATATCGGAGAAGAGAATTTCAAAAGTGCTCATCTCATTTTCAGGCACTGAAGTATGTGAGCAGGTTGTCAAAGACTTCAGCATGTTCAGTAATGAGTTTTCTTGGAAACCTGTCCAGAGCTGACATAATGGCAGCTCTGTTGCCTAGCAAGCTGTGTTGGAAATCTGGCCACAAGGACAGTGTTGACTTTTCATAAACCTGGCATTTTGTCTTTATAGGCCTTTAAAGTACCAGTTAAATACCTCAGTTCAAATAAGCTCATAAGCACGTGTTTCGCTCCGTTCATATTCAGGGTGGCAGGGAAGCACGTGATTGGCCTATAATGGAGTTTCATTAATGACTTGGACTTATGCGTCATTTCTTGAACTGAAAGATTTTCTTAATTAGGTCTTCACTGTGCATCACTGCCAACATGTAAAATTAGAAGCCACAGCTGCCTGCAGCTAGAAGGGCTCCATGTGACTGGAGCCCCTGACTCTACAGTGAGCTGGATTAGACACCCTGTCTCCCAGCCCTATGTTTGTTCTCCTGGCATTGCAGCAATAGGATGTCTCCCTCTCCGATAATAAATTTGGCACATACCTAGAGCAGGACCATCTTCTACTGGCTATGCTGAACTAGACTGAAGTCTACCCCTACCCCCCAAATCCCACCTGCAGCAGAGGCCGTAAACATTTGCCTTGGAAAGAGTGAAAACAGAGCAAGCACACACAGTGTTTCCCTCTGTTACTCTCCCAGAATCTAATTTGCAGCTGCAGGCCTTCCTAAACTGGAATTGATCTCCGTTTATTGGGTGGTAACCCACAGTGATTTCTCTTCTGTTAACTTGTTGAGTCTCCCCTTGGACTCACAGAAATGTTTAGCTTCTCTGAATCCTATGGCAATGAGTTCCAGACATCTACTTCTCTCATTTCTTTTGAACCTGCTTCATAGTATCTTCCTTTATGTTCTGCTCCCACATTTTTTGTATTAAAGAACACTCCTTTTATTACTGCAAGAGCAGGTACAGCAGCTGGAGGTCAGAGGTTTCCACTACTACCCCCCACATTTACTTTTAGCAAGTCTGTAATGCCAAGAATCTCCCAAAGGCCAATACAGTTTTATTATTGTTAATATCACTGTTATTAGCAGTTACACTGAGTCAGGTTGTTATGATTGTCCTGAGTCAGATTGTTACAGTACATGTTGCAGGATAGGAAGAAGCAGTGGCACTGACCTTTGAGTTTCTTATCCTCTGCAAGTGCTCATGCTGCAGGCTGTAAAGTACAGCAGGTTTTTCAACTATGCACTAGTAGATCTCAAGGTCACAATAAATCTGGAATTAAAGGAACATCATGACATGTTGACTGATATTTCTGTATAACATCTTCTCATGGTTGAATTTTTAGGTAATTTTATTCAGCTACTATTTTAATATGCTTTTGGTGAGAACTGGAGCCTGGAAAAGTGAAAGCCTTGCAGCTGTTTGATCTAGAAAACAAAAGTATAAAATACTAGTTAGGAAGGTGTCTGTTAATGAAGTTTGAACTAAAAATACAGATTTGCAGCATTAAGAGTACCTAACTCCTGGAGAAGATAATCAAGGAGTGTGGGGGCACTTAAGTTTCCACGATCTAAAAAGTATGTTTTAATTTGTCCACATCATGGGGTGAAACCTATGACTTATATAACAGGGTCAGACTCGATGTTTAGTGCAGTCCTTCCTGATGTAAAGCAAAAACAGATTTAGAGATTTTTTCCATTTTTATTTTGCACCAGCTTTTCTTTCTGCACCCTCCAGTCATTTTACAGAATAAGGAGGTGAAGTAATATTTATAGCATACTTACAGCATGTTTACTCTAGGTTTTCTGATTCCCAGTCCTGACCTCACACCACTAAACCCAGACTTCTAAGTTGTGGGCCTCCCACCTTCTGTGGTATATTTACAATGGCAAAGAGGTGCATCAGGTTATGCCTTTCAGAACATAATCTACAATAAGCTTCTGATTAAATGTGGTTTTTTGTATGTGGAATTGTGGTGGAGTGCTGCAGGTCAACAGAGTAAGATTATTTTCTCTTTCTTGTTTTTAGAAGGAACAAAGAGTCAACAGAGAGAGAAAATTTAGAAGAGAAAGGTGACGTAACAGTTACAGTAGAAAATGGGATTCCTTGCGAAGCACTGGATTTAAAAGCAGGCCACATTAATGGAGTCTTTGCAGCAGATGATGAACGGTTCACGTCCTTATGAAATGCTGCCATTCGTATCTGGTGGTTTTTTTGAAAGACTCCTGTGCCTACCTTATCTCGTCACTACTCCTGAATGTCAAACATGAAGACAAGAAAAATGTCCTTTCACTTAATTTCCCTCGAGGGAGCCTTCTGCTGATAACACATACACTCAAACCTCCATTACAAAGCTTTTTTTCATGAGCAAAGAAAATGAGAAGACCTCAAATGAGATCCATTAAAGATTTCCAGAAGATGTGTGGCAGAACAGTGTTGAAACCTGCCTTGTGTCAGAAATTTAATTTTTAATGATTATTTAAATATGTCCATTGCTTGTTTTTCCCTGATATAAATATGAAACTGCATTATTTCCGAATGTCACTGGGGAGATCACCTATCATTATCAATTTTTGCTGGGCTTTCTTTCAAGCCGTATGCAAAAGTTTCTCTGTAAAATGACTTCTGTTTGCTGATATGCAGTATGCCTTTGGATGGAATAGTGATCAGTGCATGAAAGTTCTCATTTATTGAGATAAAAAAAAAAAAAGCAAGCTTTCACAGCCTCCATAAGAGCAGGTTAAAAAGTGTCTGGATCATCTCTAGTGTTGGGGCTGGCAAAGATCTGGTACTAAAAGTATTTTTCACTTAACAGTCAAAGTCACAGATTATATGACCTGCAGTTTAAAAGTTGCAAAAGTTTGAAATTTGTTGAAATTAAAAGTTGCAACAAAGGGCAGATTTTTCCACAGGTGCAGCCTGTGGTTAGTGGCCCAGCTCTCATGAAATCTATAAGGGCATTTCGCAGCTCCTTGAAAAATCTTCCTTACATTTTTTAAATAATAAACCTAGAGTAGGTTTCCAAGACATAGCCAACACGTGAAAGCTGTATAGCTTTTGAAGACATTCAGTGCTTGAAACACCAGCTGCTGGGCTTGGTGCACCCAACCGAGATGAGGACGTGTGGGTGGTGGCAAGTCAGCAGAGACCATTCACACCTGTGTTTCCTATTTGTGTGGCTGGGAGTTGAGGGCATCAGATGATGCCAGACCCTAAACTGCACTTCTGGATTACTTTGAAGTCAGGCACACATACAAACTATGCTATCTGTGCCCTAGTTTCATTCCCATTTGAATCAGTGATTAAATTCTGACTGATTTCAGAAGAACCGGGCCCCAGTAAAAGGGAAATTTTATGTGTGGGTAACTGTACACAGAGAATGGAAGTACAAAATATGGTATCTGCAGTCACCAAACAGCTGCCCATGTCACCGGAGGCAGGATTTTACCATTAGCCATCTTGTTTCCAGTGTCATGTTTGGAGACAGTATTAGAAAACCCATTTAATTATTAGGGTTATTCCATCAAACTCCTCACCAACAGGAACAGGGTAAAACAGGGTAAAAGCTGCTTGTAAAGGACCGTCCAGTGTCCTGAAGGGTACGAAGGTATCTTGTCTCCCAGGGTACAAGAACCTTCAGCATTTTGGCTGTGTAGAGTACCTTTGGCTGTCCATTTGACTTGGCACTGGCTCTTGGGTATGAGGAATGAGGGGGAGAAGAGGAAGCAGCGGCATGAAGGGAGGAGGCTGAGCTGGGAAAGCTCGAGGCTAGAAGAGGTGGTGAGAGGAGGGATAAATGCAAAATAAAACTGCAACCCACTGGTCATTTGCCTCACGTGGTCTCATCTGTCATGGTTGTTTTTGATGCCCTAGTGGTGGGTCCCTCTGGACAAGGACTGTGTCTTCTCTGTGTCCCAGAGGATGTGTTGCTCCATTCTGGAAAAGAATTAATAAAGTCAGTTATTAGTGATAATATCTCAGTGCTTCAAAATTGCCATCCACAATGTGAAGATGTATTTCTCACAGGAATTTCAAAGATTAAGCTTACCAGTGTTTAAGATCATTTGGAGGGAAGATAGAGTACAGTGTTATTATTGCTTCCTCAGTCATTGCTCCAAGGTCTTCCACTCAGGCAGAGTTTTATTGAGGTAATTCACATCCCATCATTTCTAAACTTTCACACTTTTCACATTCTTTGTATGACAGATAGCTACACTGCAGTGTGACCACCACGATGGATTGTTGTAACTGCAGCACCTCTGCAAGAGCCCATGAAAGAATTTGGTGAGAATAGCTTGATGGTGCAAGAGCAACCTCGAGCTACCAATTAAGAATTACTGATTGTAGTATATGATAACTGAAATAAAATTCACTTGATATGAAAAAGGGCCAAGCATATCTGACCATACTTCTCAAGACCTGGGCGAGGGTTCAATTCAGTCCATGGCACTGGCCAGCAATTTGAATAGATTGAAAGCCTCTGAACAAAACATTATGTGACATGGGCTGACTCTGGTGGTAAGTATTTAATCACTGACATCCTCCCAGCTCACCTTTTAGCCACATAATTACTTTACAGCAGTTTGGCGTAATTTTCTGCTAATGATGATAGGGGATTTGCCCAGAGCATACATCTTGCTTTCCTCTCTGCTGACAGGAAATGGCTTGAGAGAAGCAAATGATACATGAACAGGCAGGTATCACACTTAGCAACGCTTTGAAGTCACTGTTGGTATTAGCTCTTTCACTCAAATAGGTATCACAAACTAGGTTAATCAAGGGCACACTGCTACAGAAGAAATAAATCTCTTTTCTAGTCTCTTTGTGCAGCAGGATCGTATTAGGAAACAAAGAGCACTTTGATTTGGTAAAGCCTGTCCTCCAGAGCCTGCAAATGGTACAACAACAATTTATATTCCTTGAGGATCTGGCCCAGATGTTTTATGTAACTTTCACTGGGTTGTTCTTTTTTTTTTTCTCTAAACCACCTGCCATGAAACGATCTGATAATAAAAAAGAAAGTGAGTAACAAGCAATATAGACTATACTGCAAACTACTTCCTGAAACGAGTCGGTTCTGCTTTCAGTTACATTTGTGCCATGCCAATGAATTTTGACAAAGGAACATGGTGTGCCTGAGACTGAACTGTTTCATTTTCAAGAGGCACATTTAGAAAAGAGAGTAGAGAAGAAAATCCAATTAAATGAAGCAATAAAGTCAGAGAAGTTCAGTTTGAAGAAAATCTGCAACGTTTATCACTAGCTCCACATCCCTAGCGAGTTGACATTTCAGGAAGGATGTTACAGTTCTGTTCAGCTTACTTGTGAGAGAGTATTGATGTCTAGACTAGAATGAGCACAAATCATGCATAAGTAAGTTGTTTATGGTGTCAGTCATTAGCTACACATTTGGCATGCTGGAGAACGTCGGGAAGTCTGCAGTGCCCTCCTTAAATTAGGGACTGCATTGGTCATGACACAACGGTTTGCTGTGCACAACCTTCAGCATTGTATCGATCACAGACTAGTTTTGTAAATGAAATTAGTGGTCCTTGTTTATCATTATCTATTTAGGGAAGATCGCAAACTGTGGGGAGATGCTAAAATCCTTACTCAAGCCGTTCTGCTACTTGCTTTAAGAACGTTAATCATTCTGTCCTGCAAGTTGATGCTTACTCTGTGTTGGACAAAACTAGACTGACGCTTTTTCTATCACATCAACATTTGCCTCTTCTATTCCAGGACAGCGTACAAAGTCTGGAGAGAGTCTGTCCGGGGTACTTGCCCTAAACATCTCCCTGTTAGCCCACTCTGAAGTCTGGTACTCACAACTGGACCCAGTAGTCCCCCAGGGCTCTGCCAGTGCTGAAGAGCCTGAAGGGATGACCTCATGGGCCTTTTGCAGACTATATGCTCCTATTTGTCTGTCCAGGTATGACATTTGCTTCTGTCATGGTGACCTTCATGAAGAACCCTTTCCTGGCTATGCCTTCATAAAGGGATACCTTTATTCTGCATTTTGAGGGAAGACATAACTGTAGCCAGTTCACTGTTTCTGCTGTTGTTCACAAAACAGAAGGGTGAAGTGGGCACAAGGAGCCTCAGGGTAGGATTCAAGTCTTGTTCCTTCATCACTGTGAGAATGAAATAGTTCCCAAATTAATACAAATCACGGCATGAGCACAAGAGCTTTTGCTTTGATGATTTGGTTCCAAGGACTGGGCATCAGTTTTGACCAAGCAAGGAGCGTTATCACATCTTGACAGAAAGGTTTTCATGTGTAACCTCCCACACGTGGGAAAACAAAAGAAATTACTTTAAAGCTTAGGGCAGAAGTGCAACAAAGACTTAAAATAACTCCCAGCGAAAACTGGGAGTCTGTGTTTCTAGATACTCTTAAAAACATGTCTCAGATGCCCTCAGGAATTTGGTCAGTTCATCAGTGCAGTAACCTGTGACTCATGAAATGAGCTGTTTTAAATGCACTAAGTTTTTACAGAAAATGCATTCACCAACTGTCAACAATCCATTAGCAATGAGCAATCTGTGCTTTGTTTTCTATGAGCAGTCCCTTTTGGCCTCTCATGGGTTTTTGTTTCCTTTTAATGTGGTGTGCAAGAAGGGATGTCAACATAGTGACACCACAGCTTCCTATGCTACTAGTCAATTGTTAATGAAAAATCTGTGCTTTTAGATATGCCTAATTTGATGGACTGAACTTGCTGGTTTTCAAATCACATAAAGCTGAAGTATGTTACAGTGATGAGTAATACACACTTGCCAGCACAAATGTATCAGTATATTCAGTTTTGTGGATACATTAAGCACTGTCGGTGCACTTAGCATAATGCATCTGCATTTTAGCTGGGTATTCTATGGCTGGATTGATGCTTTCATCAATCCAGAGAGATTCCACCTTTACGGCATGGATTCCACTTTGTTCTCAGTAAAGTCAGTAGGTTCAGTAGGAACTGAATTTGACTTAAGATCAAAAAGAAAAGTTTGATTTTGCTATTCTGTCATCTTCCTTCCCACTGTGTTTCCCTTAGAGGTGGCAATCTGAAGCTATCAAAGCATCTTATTAGCTACAGCAATGGCTAAACAGAAAGCATTTAATTCTGGAGAAATGGCAAGAGTGTTCTGGCATTACATCTCTTTCAGCTTCTGCCTCTCTCCTATCATTTAAATTCTAATTGCTACAAATTACAGTGTATAGCTTTTATCAGTTGTGGACCAACAGGAATTTTAGACTTTGGACTAATGTTCTCTGTGATATTGTATCTAAACAACATTGTAGATGCTGATGTGCTGACACATGGTCACTCTGAAGTGAACTGGGACCACTCACTCCCACCTTAGTAAAACTGAAATGAGAAACAGGGGTTGCCCAGATGAAAAGCTGTGTTTCACAGGATCAATACCTTTCCCTTCATTTCTGGGGAAAGGTGGCTTTTTATAATGGACAATGTGAAAGGAATACAGAACATTGTGCCCCTGAGTGATCACCTCTCCTCTGCCTTCTTAACATATGGTCTTGATTTTGACGGTAGCCTTCAGCAATGATACTTCATGATATCCTAAATTAACCTGCAGGTTTGTACACTCATCTGCCTTCCTGAAAATCGTTCAGCTTCGGAGCTTTCTCCTAAACCTTGCAAACCCTCTCTGGTTTCCTGATGCTTCAGGCAACTGACAGCATTTTTACTCAGTTTCTGATGTTGTCTTCAGATCTGGGGCTTGCCCTTGCCCACGGGGCACTTTCCCCCCTTGGCGATGCTGAACACGCTTTGACTTGGGGAACAGCCATCAGCATCTGCCTCCCTTGGAGCACAAAGGAGTGGTGCAGAGGCAACAGCTTCTCTTTAGCTCTGAAATCCAGGAGGTGAAGCAGCTTGTTTTGTGAGCTGAGGTTATAGAGGGATGTGGATTAGACATCCAAGGCACCGGCCCCAGCCTTGGGCCAGGGGGGTGCAAACTCCAGAAGGTCACTGCGATACGGCCGCATGGCCGAGCCAGCTACAGGAGGTGGATGCAAGCCAGGTAGCAGCCCCCGTCATTTCTTTTCCTCTGAGACAGAGACCCCAAGTGTGGGGCAGTGGGTGAGGAGTCTCTGTGCCCTGCACTCTCTGCTTTGACCTCCGTTCCTGCTGGGCAACGGGGAATTAATCTGGCTGGCTGCTGAGCCGCCCTGGCTCGTTCCTGCAGAGGAAGAACCAGCTAAGCCCAAACTGCTGATGCTGGAGCCAAGGCTGGCTGCTGGTACGTGCCTTTTGCATGGGAGCTGGTCCCGGGTGGCTCAGAGGTTGACAGGACAGGCTGTGCCTGCCTGCAGAGGAGCAGAGACGTCCATCCTCCTCGCCTCCACACAGCTCTGCTCCCCACCTAGAGAGCAGACACAGGGATCTTAGGAAAACCCTCTCTTGTAGGAGGGCTCCCAGCGTGGGGAAAGCCCCTGTCGCACGGGCTGAGGGCAGCTGGCGAGCCAGCACCCCGGCCCCAGCACCGGCGGGAGGGCTTTCATCCGAGAAAAGGCGGATGTCACGCATGCAGAAGAGTTAGTCATGTGGGAAAAAGGCTGCTCCTCGGGGGATTAAAAGGACTATTTGCCCAGCCCCCAGTGTGAAGCACGAGGAAGAGGGAGAGGATCTGGGCTTGTCCCCCAGCGATGCCCAGGTACGGCCGCGGCAGCATGGCCTCTCTCCAAGCACCGCTGCCGTGTCAGGGTGATGTGCGGAGGGGCTGAAGCCACCCCCGGGCCGTCCACTGCCTCCGCAAAGCCACTTTACGGGGAGTCCTCAGAGCAAGGATTTGCCAGGTATTTAACCGATGTGAGTCGCTCTCTGGCGAAGGGCAGAGGAGTGGCGGAGCGGGGCAGCCGCAGCCCCGCGCAGGCGGTGGGCTGGCTGGCTGTCCTGCGGCAGCCTGTCCTCCCCGGGAATGGATGCTCCAGACCCCGCAGCCCTGGCGCCGTGCAGCCACAGCCCTTCAGAGCCCCTCTCTGCAAATCAGTCACCGAGTAATGCTTATGTCTGTCTTTTATGCACTAGGCAGAATTACAAAGTGCAGCAGAGAGCTTAAGCAGTGCGCCTGCCTGGAATAAAATGGCCTGGTAATGGTATTTTAAGCAATTTTAAGGATGTGTGGTGCCCAATATGCAACACAGTAGTTTCTTACTGAGGCGTGCCCAAAATGCAATTCTCTGTTATTGCAGTCCTAGTTTCATAGCACAGCTCAGCCAACAGCATGAGTGATGAGGCAGATAACTGCTCTAACAAACAGAGCCAAGGTACAGATGAACACTGGTGGGCAGCTATTTAAGCAGAAGTCAGACAACTCGAACCCTGGGGACTACAGGACTGGGAGTATCAGGTAGGGGCTGGGAGCCACAGCTCACGCTGCAGACCCAAGGGTGTGGGGGAGGACTGGCACACTGGAGGAGAAGGAGCCTGTGTTACCATGTCAGGTTATCCGCAGCCTTTGTACTGTAATGATGGCAAACTGACAGTTGTGTGCTCCAAGCCAAGTAGGCTGACTGCCATCACATACAACAAAGTGTTTGATTGAGACTGGATTTTAACTCCCAGTTGCTCTTCTCTTTCCTATCACCCAAACCCGACAGCTGCTGCCTTGCTGCCCTTGCTGGGGGTTCGTATTTCCTGAAAAGGCTCGAGGTACTTCCCTTTCTCACTTGTTTACTGTTCCCTTTTTGCTGTGGCACAGTCTTCCTGCTCTTGCCAGCTCTTCAGACCAGCCTGAAGGTCCACCCCAAGACATGCTACTAGCTCATCCAAGAATGGATGGCATCCTCTCCCCGTAGACCTGCCATCACCATCTCATTCTACACAAATCACTCTTAAGCCTGAAGCCTATGCATCCTGCAGAAAGCCTGCTGTGGTAGTAAGGCTGACATAAACAAAGTCTGTA